CCAGACGGCGATAAAGACCGTGGGCGTTTCTCAATCTGTGTTCTTTTCTGTACTCGTGTTCTTGTGGACTTGACGCAGCTCAAGTACTGTTCCAATTCAAAAGTCGGCATCTAGCCAAGTACAGTCAAATACCCGGATGTGCTCTCGCTCCACCCATTTTACCGAGCATGCATCAGTGGTGACTTGTGAGGACTTCGGATAGGCAAGTATCCCAGAATGCATTTCGCACCAACAAGCGGCAATGGCAGAGGAGAAGACCAACAATTGGAAATTATAATACTGTTGTTTTTGTGGTCGATTTATCAAGATAGCGGCTTTTTCAGAGAGGTCCCGCGTTTATTTACTTGCCAAACTTGTGGTGGTCGATTAACGTAATCATTTACACCCCGCTGGCTGCCATCACGTTAATTATTACTGTTGGCTGCAAACAGGTTACAGGTTCATTGTTAATCATGTAATGTTACAGTTTTATTTAGGCCTACGCTGGTTTGTTGGGTGTGTTGATTTACAGTAGTTAATAAGCTGCAATTGATTGCATTGCACATTACATGGTTGTGCTAAAAACAGGTCACAGTTGCAGAATTCCTTATAGTTGTGCAGTTTTATAAGCAGCCTGAATTGAATGCAGCAGCTGATACAACTATCATTATAACCACAAGTGACTTAAGACTTGACTTGGACTCTTACTCAAAGACTAGTGAGCATCTCTGCGTGACATGCATGGTGACCTAGAAGACAAAACAACAGACCAAGATAGTGGCTCAAACTCCCTCGTAGAGACGCCGCAAAAGCCGTTGAATTTTATTTGGATCACCTCTCAACTCAATAAAAAGATAGATATGGACACACTTGCGATCCATAAACGGCACCCACTGCCGTATTTCAGCTGTTAAAAACCTCCAGGTCCCTGCCAAGGCTCGACTTTGGAAATGTTTTCGTTTACCTTGTAGCTAACACAGCTCAGGCTTGTCTCCTCGTCGATTAGTGCATCCAAAAGCACGACAACCATACAGCGTTTCGGCAACGCAAAAGTAACATCTATTTTTGCCCTCCAAGGGAGTGTCCTTGGAATGTGACGTCAGGTGAAAACTATGAAACTATGAATTGGCCCTTGAAATAAAGGGTACTTTGGGACTTTGAATACTTTGAATTAATTTTCAGGCAAAGGGGTAGAGGCTGGAAGTGTGACTGCTGCCACCTTGCAGTGGTATAGTGAGATGGATGCTGCACTCCAGGGGTAGCACTCAATCAGTCCGCCCCTGGTTGTGGCAACAAACCTCACTACCAGCAGGTGGTGCAGTCAGCCTGCCAGCCTCTGCCACTTCTGCAGAGGAAGCTAGGCTCTGCTGGACCACCTTAAAGAGCAGTCCGAGAGGAAGAGGAGAGGGCGAGAGAGTGGCAAGAGAAGAGGAGAGGGCATGGAAAGTGCAGCCATTGCTTCAGCAGAGAAATATTTGTCTTGGTTCTAAAATGAATTTATGAATTGTAAATAATAATGATTTTAAATACATAGTAGAAAATTCAAGCAGGGAATTCATTCTTTAAAGAAATGTTTAAAACCAATCCTGTTAAAAGCACAAATACCTATAGTTTACACTTATATACAATGATTTACAATCCTGCAGTTAAATAAAAAAAACACAAGAAAAAGAACATTTCAGCAAGTGAACATATACAACATATATACATCTATTTATCAATATCTATCTCATACTATCCATCTCATACTATCTCTCATATTATCTATATCATACTATTATAATATCTATATTATCTTAAGCTACACTGAACAAAATTATAAACACAACACTTGTTTTTGCCCCTGTTCATCATGAGCTGAACTCAAAGATCTAAGACTTTCTCTATGTTCACAGAGGCCTGTTTCTCTCAAAAAAAGTGTTCACAAATCTGTCAAAATCTGTGTTAGTGAGTACTTCTCCTTTGCCGAGATAATCCATCCACCTCACAGGTGTGGCATATCAAGATGCTGATCAGACAGCATGGGTATTGCACAGGTGTGCCTTAGGCTGGCTACAATAAAACGTGCAGTTCTAGCACACAGGACGATGCCACAGATGTGGTAAGTTTTGAAGGAGTGTGCAATTGTCACGCTGACTGCAGGAATTCCTGTGAACTAATGTTAATTTTTCTACCGTAAGGCGACTCCAAAGGTGTTTCTGAGAATTTGGCAGTACATCCAACCGGCCTAACAACCGCTGACCACATATAACCACACCAGCCCAGGACCTCCACATCCAGCATCTTCACCTCCAAGATCGTCTGAGACCAGCCACCCAATCAGCTGCTGCAACAATCGGTTTGCATAACCAAAGAAATTCTGCACAAACTGTCAGGAACCATCTCAGGGAAGCTCATCAGCATGCTCGTCATCCTCATCGGGGGCTCGACCTGACTGCAGTTCATTGTCGTAACCGACTTGAGTGGGGAATGCTCACATTCGATGGAGTCTAGCACTTTGGTTCTGTTCGCAGAGTTTCACTGTACAGGGCAGATGGCAGACAGCTTGTGTGGGTGAGCAGTTTGCTGATATCAACGTTGTGGTTCGGGTGGCCCATGGTGGCGGTGGGGTTATGGTATGGGGAGGCGTGTGTTATGGGCAATTGTTACAAACATCAGAAGAAAGCCCAGGGGGAGAAAGTTAGTGCAATTAATAATTGTTCCAGGGCAGAAGAAAATGAGGAAACAGGAGTAAGTTTGCAGAGAATTTATTTATAGTTAACAAAGTGTCTTTTAATGCTCCATAAACAGAAAACAACTCCCACAAGGGAAGAGAGCAACAAGGGTCCTTTTAAAAGGGAACTAAGGCAATTGATAAAAACACAAATTTAGTGATCGCAAACTAGCACACACAAGCACACGGTGCAAACAAAAACAGTAAATCACTGTAACTGCCGGTTACTGTCTCTGCCAACTGCCACACGCTCACCGCAGACTTCAAACACTCTTGTTAAACACTGTCTCTTTCGCTGTAGACCACCATACTCTCACCCAGAGCAGCTTCCTTCTCCAGCCCTTATACTCTCCACTGACTAGGACAGTGGAATCAGCTGCGCTCCTCAGCCTGCTGGCTGCAGCATTGGGGGCAGGGTAAGGTCCTGCTTAGGGCAGGGACGAAAACACACAAATACAAGACCCCATATTCACATTAACGGCCCATGGGTTGTAACAAAAACAAACAATTTTATTTTATTGATGGCATTTTGAATGCACAGAGATACTGTGACGAGATCCTGAGGCCCATTGTTGTGCCATTCATCCATGACCATCACCTCATGTTGCAGCATGTAAATGCACAGCCCTATGTTGCAAGGATCTGTACACAATTCCTAGAAGCTGAAAACATCCCAGTTCTTGCATGGCCAGCATACTCACCTGTCACCCATTGAGCATGTTCGTGATTCTCTGGATCGGCATATACAACAGCATGTTTCAGGTCCTGCCAATATCCACCAACTTCACACAGCCATTGAAGAGGAGTGGATCAACATTCCACAGGCCACAATCAAAAACCTGATCAACTTTATGCCCCCCAATACAGTGAAACATTTTCGAGTGACCTTTTATTGTAGCCAGCCTAAGGCACACTTGTGCAATACCCATGCTGTCTGATTATTTTAAATGCTCACTAACACAGATTTTGACAGATTTCTGAACAATATTTGAGAGAAATAGGCCTTTTGTGTACATAGAGAAAGTCTTAGACCTTTGAGTTCAGCTCATGATTAATGGGGAAAAAACAAGTGTTGCATTTATAATTTTGTTCAGTGTATATTCTATTTTTTTTTGCTGGGTCATTGCTGCAAGCTGACTCATTAGTTTGTTTCCATTGTCATATTTTTAGTGGGATGACGTTTTTTCCTGGAATACGCTGCATTCATTTTGACATTACAGAGATTCAGGAGTTACCTATGAGTCAGCTATGTTTTCCAGCTTTTGAGTGAACACTGCCAGCTGTACTTGTGTCTGCCCACTGTGCTCACTGAGTCTGTGTTTAGTCACAGGTTTTCCTCTCCTTTTAATCATTCCTGATAGTCTGGAAGTCTGCCATGCTGTCTGTTTAGCGCCAAGTATGTTGGGTTTATTTTTTCTGGAAAACTTAGTCAAGGCCATTATGTCCACTTGCACTATGAAAAAAAAATTAGTATAAAGGTAAACGTTTGTGTGTCATATTATTTGTTCAGTGTATTCATTATGGAAAATGGTGCTGAGATGTTTTAGGAGAAGTTCTGCCAGTGTGAACAGTCATCCTCCTTGACAAAGCTAATTAGCAATTATGCATGTCATCTGTTCCCTCAGACTTGAGTTATTAATTTGGTGAATATAGTTAAATTCATCATTAAGTGATTCGAGAAATAACAGCAGTTTCAATAAAAACACTCAGATATTTCAGCTATAAAATATCCTTTTCCTTTTCAAGTGTCATCATAGGGTTGGGACCCATGTCACCTTAGTGCTGATTGGTGGCATTGACTGCTAGCTCTTGACTCATGAGAGCAGAATGACTGCAACAACATGCAAGGAGTAAAAGAAATAACTTTGGATTTATGACTCATGTCAGTGGGTTTTAAATACTGAATAGGCTGTATATCCATTTAAACATTGTCAATACACCAAGTATTGGCCAGCAGATGGTGATGAAACATGCTTGTTTTGATAGGGACCTCTAACTTAATGTCAGCCATTTTGTGTTCTGGTGTGTGCAGATTTCCACAATTGTCTGTTTGAGTGAAATCTACACGCACATCCTTATCATTTAGACAACTGTCATTTGAAAAGTCAAAATCAAATCCCTTAACAGTGTTATTTTAAGCCCTAAATAAACAAATAGATTTGAAGGTTTACTTTCCCCTTAATTTACACATTAAAATCTTTCAGAAATCCTTTAATTATTGATCTTGATGTATTTATTAAGGTTGGGATTTTGGTGGAAGTTTTTTTGATAACCATTTCATAGTGCTTTCAAATAAACACAATAAATCCTTTCTTCATACGGATATTTTATTAATTTCACCGCACATGTTCAGGGAAACACATGTCAATATGGATTTGTTACATGAATATCTATTGTACTATAGATATCTGTTTTTTAAAAATACGTTATGAGATGGTATTAGACTGGCATGGCATCAATATAAATCCCTTCTTTAACAATAGTTTGGCATGTTACTTTTAAAATTAGATATCAAGACACAGAATCGAGGGCACACATCATCATATACAGTACTTGACACTCAAAACCCCAGAGCAGACAAAACAGTGACCCGCTTCACTCAACGTCAAGTCGTTTACAGCAGATAGCGCGATCGATTTAAAATGGTTTCCTGAAGGCAAATCAAGAGCTTGCTTTGAAGGAGATTAGTCTTTATCGGACTGGCTGACGATGACGGATGCGAGTGAGCAATAACTTTTGATATTGATAATTTTGATAAAGCAGTCATGTGAATATCCATATCAAAGCAAGGACTTGAACATAGTGGAGATGTCATTTGAAGACGGCAAGTGATTACACGCATTAGCCAGAAAAGTGTGGGTAACAAAGCCTTGTCGAGTTAAAGATGGTGATTGGGTAAAGTGCTGAAGGATGAAGGTTGTATTCCACCTTCCAGAGAGCCAATGATGCTCATGCTCCTCATGAAGAGGGTACATTACACAAGGTCATCGCTCCTGGTGAGAAAACAAACCAATGTGCCAAGTCCACACTATAACACAGACCAGCTCTGTGTTTTAGTGTGGACATTTACCTCAAAATGCTAGCATGCAGGGAAAAAACTCTTGCTTTTTGAGTGTAGAGTTCATGGACACAATTGTTGCACAACAACAACAATGGAGATGGAGGAGCTAATAACAGCTAAAAAGTACGTTAAAAGTAGTTTTGTGAAAATTTGATTAAAGATTAAACAGAATAACAATTGTAAAAGATGGCAAGATGTCTCCCATGACAGCAGTAAAAGGCTTATACTTCTCAAAAGGCATATCCTTGATGTACTGTGGCTTGGATTTTATCTAATTTGTACAATATGTTTCTTTGGTCATGTGAATGTATTCATGAAATGTTTTCAAATTTGACACTAGCAGTAGTTTTGATATCCATTGTAATGTTTGTCCAAATGAAAGTATAGTACTTGTTTGTGTACTTAACTTCCCAAAGGCCAAGACTGAGAAGTACTGTGAGGGCATTTAAAGACATAATGCACTTATTTGTAGTTTTCCTTTTCAAGAGACTGACTACATTTATTAGAAATATTATACTCTTCACTGCATGTGCAAACAGTTGGTTGTTTTAAGCATTTCAACAAATGACCAATGTTGTCATTTTTCTGTTTTCAGTCTCTACAAGTATATGGACGTGGGACACAGTGAAGAAGCTCATGATACCAGGTTTGGTTATCTAATTAACATTGGATAGCATTGGTCTCTCCTCTCATAATGGCTTGTAATAATAGCTTTGAGTCAAATCACTAAGACACATACTGCATACAGCAGTTCTAGTTATAAAGGAGGTTATACAGGAAAATGACTGGAGCATGTCCGTGTTCATTGAGTGAGTTTCCAAAAGTCTGTGGCAGCATTGGCTTTGTTAACACCCTTTTACTAAATGTTTAGCAGCGCTTGGCTGTTGGCTGGTGTTAATTATCTCCACCCTGGTGGAGACACAGAAACCCAACGGCAGTTAATATGCATGTCAGATCTGCAGTAGGTTTGTGTTTTTCAGTTTGGTTTTGGGGAAGGCTGTTGTTGTACATGCGCTCAGGGTTTGTCTGGGACAACATGTTATGTGAGGCAAGGAGCAAGGGATTTAGCAAATAAACATAATAAGAAGCACCACGCATTGGGCAGATGAGGAGGCTCAGCATAGCGTTGTTTTGTTTTTTTGGCACAGTCAGTAGCCCGTGTCAGTGCAATGCAGCAAGAAATAAGATCCCCGAGCAGCAACGTACAACCGAGCTGAGTGAGAAACACGACAGTACCTCAAGATTTTCACAGCTGAGAATGTGCTCGCTGCCCATATCCCTGACGGTGTAAAATAAATTATTTAATAAAGTGCATGACGAGCTGGTTCATTGTCTAATTAGCTATTAATGACATTGCTGCCACTGTGGAAGGCTCCGCACGGCCAGACTTATGTAACATTACTGAATGATAATTCTCAAAGCTCTGGAGAACATGCTAATCCGTTGCATAATTCATCACCACACAAGCCTTCTTCGTCAGTCAGCTGATCAGTACTCATAAGGTTTGCCATTCATTTCTGGTATTTCAGAACTGTTGAACTGCAGCTACATTCACAACTGTTATTTCCTTTTACATTGATCTTTAATCTGCCTTCTTTGTCTTAATACATTTTATGTTATTAGAGGTTAGAGGATGATGCTGCGGATGTAGCATGATGTTAAATCCTAAAGTCACTGCTCTCGCCACTGATTGTGGTTGCTGCTGTACATCAGTGAAGCATCTTGTTGGAATCTGTCAAGCCTTTTAATTTTACAGCACAGAGAAAAAAATTTAAATATTGCCCATTTGCACTGATATTCCTGGGGAAAGAGGCAAAGTAGTCAATGGTTATATATCACATTCTAACTATGGCATAAAAACCCAAACAATCAAGACAAAGTGCCACATACGTAGGCAGCAATGGTAGAAATCGGCATCTGCAGAACAATAAAATACAGAACATACTTCACGGATCTAAGTAAAAGCCTTTTTTTTTCTCATAGTAAAATGCAATCTTAATATGTAGTTCCATTTAGCTTCATCTGCCCTCATGGTGATGTAGGTAAGTGTTTACTGAAATTGCTATAGCGTAACACCTTGTTCACATCTTTACACATTGTCAGGGTAAATTGGATATCATATGCAGCAGATTAGCTTCTCTTTGTCGCTGTCTGCTCTATTTCCTAAAATTGATGGACTAATGACATGCCGGCAACACACCAGAATTGGCAAAAAGGTCACCGCTGTTTCACATAACTTAGAACCACCGTCTCTCCACAACAAATACATCCAGAATTTAATCTTCACGTTGACTGATAGAGATTAAATAATTTAATAGTTTTATGATTGAGCGCAGTTTGCTCCTTACTGCTATCATTAAGTAACTCTTTTTCCAAAGGAGCTGGAGGCGATGTTGTGTTTATCACATCCTGAAAAGGCGAGTGTTTTGTGTCTGATGCTCTGGGGAGGAACGAAAGACGATGGCATGTACATAGAAAAACAAAGGACAAAGCTGTGAACAAGGCGTAATAACGATCTGATACCATCTGATAAAAAGATGCAAGAAACTGCCTCATCTGAGGAGGAGGTGCTGAGACACAGTGATGTTCGAGAATGAGCTTTTGCCCATACGCCTACTTCCTGTCAAAAAGCTGACACTTCCTCCCAGCGATGTAGTTAGACTCAGCTGCACTAATTATAGCGCCAAGTCCAACCGAGTCTGCAGTATTCTGCCTCAACTGCAAAATTGTGCTTAGGAGTTTATGTCCCAGAAGTGTTAAGGCTTTTTTAAATCTCAATACCAGACATTTCTCTAAGTACAAATGAGCTATACCAATGAAGGTTAACAAGATGAATAAATAGATGTAGGAGCGGTATTAAAGGTTTATATATTCACAAATAAGCACAATCAAGTCAATTTCAAAATAAGTAGAGAAATGAGGGGGAAAAAGAATTAGCCTGGTATTGGTGTTTTTGCCCAACTCATACGATATGTTTATCTTTTGAGTCAGAGAGGAAAGGTTTGCAGAGTAGCTAATTATGGTTGAATCTAAATCGTACTTGCAAGACATGTCAAATTAATTGACTGCAACGCCTATTCACTTTAGCCTGAATGTTAATGTATATGTTTTCCAGTTCTGAAGGTGTGTTACGTTAAGTTAAAAATACAGTATTTAATCCTCATTCAACTGACATTCTGAATCTTTCTCTAAAAATTTATTTGGGAAAGGGTGAATTTTCACCGCCCCACCCAACCATGTACTTTAGTGCTCTCTGCAAACCTAACCTCTTAAGAGCGGCTCCTTCTCTTTCCTGTCATTGGGAGCCAGTAAGGATGAGGGGTTAGCATCAGTGTTAGCTGAAGTTAATGGAGCCAAAGGGTAGCCACGGCGAGCAGGAGCGACAGCCCCATGGTGGAGGCCAGGGAGGCAGCCAGGAGCCTGCCGTTGTTTACCAGCCTGAAGGAGATAACCTCAACCTTGAATCCATCCTCGGTGGCCATGCAGCGAAAGACCCCTTCCTTCAAGGGTGTGTCAACAACCGGCCCCAGGACACAGAAGTCCCCGGAGAAGAGGCAGGGATAGTTCTTGACACAATTGTCCTTCTCCCAGCGGTAAGTGGCATGGAAGGAGCGCACAGGGCAAGGAAGAAAGACGGAGGTGTTGGACTGCACAAAAACTTCTCTGGGGGAAGTTCGACGCTGCTTCAGAGCTATAGGGACAAAGAAATGAAGAGTTCTATACCAAAATAAATCTATTCATATTGTAATTAATATGTTGATTGTACTTATCTATGTAAACACCTGATATAACTCATCCCATTTCTAGCAAATTCAAATATTTGCTGCTATAAACACCAATTGTTTTGTAGATTTTTTTCCATTACACCTGGCAAAGCAGACAATTGCCTCAGGACCCCAAACATTTTTATATATTCAATATGTGTCAATTGGTGTATATTTTGTTAAGCAGTTATTTGATTAGTTGCAAATTCTTGGGAAATGGGAATATGCAACACTAAAGCCCATTATCAGCAGAAATTATATGTGCCCTACAACACATTCATCACATATGCTTAGCGTCACTTTTTAATGCACTGGGTTCTAGATGCGCAAGTCTCCATGGTAAGTCAACAATAAATGTACGACGTCCATTCAAGTTAGCAATAATAAATATACAATGTCTGGTTAGATTTTCAAAATAAAACATGGTTAATGTTGTGAAACAGTGGCAGATTATTTAGGTTTAGGCATCAAAAGTACTTTGTTAGGTTTAGGAAAAGATCATGGTTTGGATTAACATAGGTATGGAAGTTATGTAACTTAAGTTAGTAACTATAGCTTAAGTTAAAAAATAAGTCAAAGTTTACTGTTGGTTTTACACAGGTTTTACTTTGTCCTGACATAATGCTTGTAGTGTTAAAAACAGTGCTAAAGGGGTACCCAGTGCGTTAAAAAGTGACGCCAAGGGCTCTTGACCTTGTCAGAAAAGGCCCTCACGATTGTTCAAGATTGTTGCATGCATTGCTCTGGTGTCCATGTAACTTATGTAATGTATTTTTTACATTATATTAGAAAGATGCAGTTTAATCTTTAAATGTTTCCTTATAATACTGCACTGTAATACTACAAAGGCTAACAACGTTGTATTGCAATAGAAGAACATTGCTGCGTCTTTATTTGACCAAAAAGGTTCATTACAAGATGCTGGAGACCTGTGTCTTCAGCCTCCAGTTCTTTTTTACATTACACGGTGCAGAATGATAATGTATGTCTAATATAGCCAACAAATGTGTATATATACCTTTTTGTAGGGTTCTGATTGTCATAAGAGTCAACCAGAAATATTCAGCTGGAGTTTTCAACTAAGCAATGGAGTTATTTAGCAAGCTAATCTTTTTGTTTTTTACTCTAACTGAGAATGATATAGAATTAACAATGACATACATTGCTCTAAGACATCAGTTAAAACACCTTGCTTCTCATTGTGTTCAAGTATATTCTAGGGAAATAGATCAAAACTTGTTACTGGTGCCACATGTCCTGCATGTGGCACCACTAACACAACTGGAAATAAATAGTAGTAGTAATAGTTAAAATTAGATCACTTAAGGAGATAGCCTTCCCTCAGAGGAGAGTAAATGTCCTGCTTTTTCAGGGTTATAACTAGGTTTTGAGCTTTGAAACAGGGCAAGCCATCATGTAAAAAAAAATCTCTCCCTATGGGTTTTTGGACTCTTGTTCAATTATATGATAATCATCTTTTTACTGTAGCTCCTCAGAAAGGTTCCTATTTTGGTTTAATTAAGATACAGAGAGAGTGGGAGAGAGCAGATAAGGGCTCACCAGCAGCTTCCCCACAAACCGAGGCGTTCGACTCGTCCAGATTCTGAAGGAGTGTCCTGTTGGAAAATAATAGAGGACAAATTAGCAGCATTAAATAGTTTCATGCTGCATGAGGCTTATGAGCCTCCACAGCAACCTACTACTCGCAAATTAAAACAAGCAGAGACAAATCATTCAACAATGTCGGCGGGAGGGGGGGGCTTTTTCCAGCACATGATTGATTTTCATATTCATTCGGAAAAGCACAAGATCCATTGAAGCCAAAGCAATTTACAAAGTGAAACAAAGTATTAATATGCAGTTTTGGTATTTTTTTTAAAACGCAGTTTCTTCAGAGATAAAGAAAGTCACCTCACGGCCAACAATTGTCAATCAAAACATAAGGTGTTATTTCTTTAATTGCAGATTTATGCTTTACATCTGACAGTACTGAGACAGTGTTTGTGAAATGACTGATGATGTGTGCTCAGTTTCTCCCTTGTTGGCTGATCTACAAACACACAATAACTCTACAGTGACCTTATGCGTAGCTAACATACCCAGACGTGACATTGTATCCAGGTGGGATGGCGATGCACTTCCTCCTGGCCATGTCCCAGCCACAGTACGGATCCCGGGAAAGAATGCACTCCCTGCATGTGTCACCATAGCGACTGCAATCAGCCAGTGGCAGTCGCTGGACCTCCATCGCTGTACCAACATACAGGTGTCCCTAAGGAGGAAAAGATGCAATATATTATGTCTGTGTTATATTATGTTTAATAACAGTAGTATTACTGGAATAAATAATTGTTGTGTCCCAAATTTGTATTATTTTTCAGGCAGCAGAGCTTCTGAAACAGCTTTCAAACCTACAAAGGACAGTTAAACCCAAAATGAGGTACTTCAATATGGAAGACATGACTGGAAGACTTTGAATATCTAATAAAGGCTAGTATAATCCCAAACAGAAGATTACACAGCCTAATCTATCTCTTTCACTCAACAAGAAATCTGAAATATTTCTCAACAGGAATACAACTGAAATCACCCTCTACCACACAGTGTACCACTTTCACTCATACCTTTTGGGAGTCAATGGCCATACTTAGAACGGGGCCCTCGTTGTGAAACAGAGAGTATTGAGATATGATGAAGACCCCCTCGCTGGTGTGAAGAACTTTGAGGACTTTTCCTTGTTCTGTAGAAATAAAGGAGAATATATTAAAAATGGAGGGGAGGGATTTATCACAGGTCTGCAGTCATGTAAACTCATCTGCAAATGCTCACATCCAGAAAAAGACACAAACATTCTTGGTGTCATATGTTAAAATTTGTGCATTTGGGCTTTCTTTTTTGCCCTTCTTTTTTGCCATTTTCAACCCTTGTTCTGATGTCCAAAGTATTTTACAAATACATTGATTTGACTTGGACAGCTTCCACTCTTAAGGAATGCTGGAGGGCCAAAGGCAAAATGGCAACAGAATAGAGTTTTAGTGTTTTTTTGGACAAGCATTTGTAAGGGCAGAGCTGCTCTGGAAAGAGAAATAGGGTAACTGTGCTTGTTTTAACCTCAATGGAAACACAGTACTGACTACAATAATACAATAGGCGAAGTCTTTTACTCAAGATGCTAATGGTAAGAATAAAATAAGGTTGAGCACGGTAGAAATCCTTGAATACATTAGATTCACATTGGAAATCCAGTAACTTTTGGATTGTGAGTCAATTTAGGATCAATTACAAAACTCTGATTTTGATTGAAACAATGGAGCATTCAGTGTCCTCGAACTTTTGCCTCTGGCTAGGATCTTTTTCAAAGTCTTCACTTTGTATTGAAAAGAGGGGACATTTAAGGAATCAGATTAGGGATGTGACAAAACACTTAGTTCATGAGACGTGATAATGCACAATATTGGAGTCACGAGAACAAGACAACAAGATGCTCTGATATTTAGAAGAAATATTCATTTATGAAATAGGCTATTCAATTGGGGCGTCTGGGGATCTGTTTCTTCTGTATTTACCTTGCATTTCATGTTTTAGTATTGTGCAAGTAAACATTTTTCATAAATTCGTAATTTAACATTTCTTGTTGCTAGCTAATTTTCAGAAAAATGTGGTTGGACAAAATCAGCCATTTCAAGAAGTGATGAGGACATGTCCCCAATGTAAATAACAACTATGATCTTTTTCCATAGCAATAGCAAATGAATGCCATTTGACATAAGTTGAATCATTGTAACTTTTGGAAGTAACGTAACCCTGTGGTATGAAGTCTGGATTTAAAAAGCCAGCAACTAACCTGGGGCTCCAGAACTTCAAGGGCCTCAAAGGTTTCAGGCCTACTGCATGTCAACTGTTTTGTGCTAGCTTGCTAAAAATGTCTGGGAATATGGACCACTGGAGCACAATATGAAAAATGACATGATAAAGGCATGGGTCCCCCTTTATTGAGGTCAAAATTTAGTCTCAAGACATCATTACTACACTTTCGTCCTTAAGTTGCTAATTTCAAATTAATTTGTGTTTAATCAAATTACCACTCAGCAAGCCTCAAGCCAGGTAGTATTCCAGCATGGAAACATACTTGTACAAGCACAGAGTATGGAAAGGAGACGCTTAATAAAAAATGGTCGTTTCTACATAATTGGTCATTGCGACAATTCCAGTGGGAGTGTTTTTCCTTCATCAATTCTCTTCTGAAATCTTGCTTTTGTGGCCGACAGAAGAGAAACCTGCCTCACAAAGATGTGTGATCAGGAAGGACGATAGACATAGGGTGGATGATCAATAGTTATTAATTGGCTGTTAGGGCCACGCTGGGTTTAGTATATATTAATTGTGGTGGTGTCTGTATGAGATTCTGCTAGTTATGCTAATCTAGCTGTGTGAATCCCTGTCAAGGATTGGTCCCTCTGGACCATCTACTTCGAACCAATCAGAAGTCTCTAATCAACTCCAGCTGCATCCTAAAGGTTCAGTGTGTAAGTTTTGGGGCATCTAATGGTGAGAGTTGTGAATTGCACCCCCCTTCCCCTATCCAAGCGAGTTTTATAGCTACGGTGCCTGAGACAGGACAAAGATGTCATCTATAGCAGAGATAGCAGAGATAGCAGAGATAGCAGAGAGTTGCCAGTCAAGAAATCAGGTTTCTTTACACTGATATATTAAGAAATTATATTTACTTGATTATTCAGTAAAACCATATTTATTTTTGCCACATCAAGAAATGGAGTGCTTTTTCTCCTGTAATACAGTATTTAATAACTTGGGAGGGTTGGCTCATCTGGACTAACATACCAAAGTAAATGAAGAACATCTCAGAAACTATCACATCAAGTGCATCAAGCGTGACCACACACTGATAACAGGACAATCACTGTTTCTGCACCACAGTCCATTATAAACCACATAATAAATGAAGTTTATAAAGGCATTGGCTGGTGAAAAAACACCTTTTTTTAATGCAAATTCTGAAAGTAGGCTATTCATTATTGGTCCCTTAATAGGCACACGGTCTTGTTATATAACACTATTAGCAATAAAACTGTAACAGCAGCTTCCCTGCTGCTACAGTTTTATTGCACTAATATTCATCATCTGTTTGTCTCAGTAAGGTAAGGACACATTTCTGTCCACGTAGCAAAGCCATAACAGAGGCTGGAGAAGAACTACATGAAATTACAATCCACCTACATATTTTTATTACCAGCGCAGTAAAAGTTTAGCTGGTTAATCTGAGCTTCGATGCTGGAAGCTGCAGTTTTATTGCCAATTAGTGATCAGCTGATTGTCTGATGAACATAACAAAACAAAACCGAGCGCTGGAGAGAGAAAGACACTACATGAAACTAATCCAACAACATATTTTACACCACAAGCCAAAGCACAGGGCTGGAGAATAAACCAGTCCAACTAACCTTATTTTTCTAAGCTAATGTTCCGGTTTTATTGCCAATTAACGTTACTGATCAGCTGATTGTCTCGCTAACATAACCGGCAAAGCCAACCTACAGGCTGGAGAACAAGTAGGCGACATGAAATTAATGCAACTACATATTTCACACCGCTGACAGGGGAAACGCCTCATGGCTCTCTGTGATTATGGCCAGCTTCAAGCTAAAGCTATCAGGGATCAGCTTTCATTTGCAAGTCCGACAAACTTAAGTTAATTACCTGTCCAGCAAAAAATAGACAACTTCAGCACTGCTTTGAAAACATCTGTCCCACATTATAGCCTTCCATCTGGGAAAATCCACAACATCCGTGATTTCTGCCCTCTGCATCTGTTCCGACTCCTCTGGCTTCATGGTATAAAGATCCACAGGCTCTTGTGCTAAATATCAATGTCACTTCTCTTCTTACTTCTAATAAACCAGAGGACTACTCAGAGACTCTTTATTATTATTATTATTATTATCGTTCTTCTTCTATGGATGCATTTATGTAGTGACAGGCATCTACACTGCTGGAATTTGTAGTGTACAAACAGTGTGGATTTGTGCGTATTATATCAAATAAATCTGGACTATTCCAAACTCTTTCTCTCTCCCTGGGAGAAAGAAAAGTGAGATATCAACTCAACAGACAGCTGAAGAGACCCCAAAGGAAAGGGTGAAAGGTTTGCTTTCCTTAAGTGCTGTTTCTGGGAAGTCTGATAGTAAAACTGGCCGCCTCTGATGCCGCAGCGAGATAACGCTCGGTGCCTGACTGTTAAAATAACAAAGAAACACTGACAAGAGATTAGCGTTCTCCTGAACACCCTATCGGAACTCTTCTTAAGAGAGGGCAGGAAACCCTAAACTGCCCCCCACACACGTAACCATGGCAACGGACCTTCATCTTTGTTTGATTACCTCACATCAAAGGATATTCTCCTCTTCACAGCCAGATGTAAATTTGGGAGGAACTCCAGGACACCCAGAAGACACTGCCTTGAACCCTTTGTGCAAACAAAGGACTGTCTCCTCAAAACTCAAAGCATTACCTTGTTTAATTAAATAATCTTTTAGTTACTCAACTAGGTAGTAGTTATATTACCATGTTGGTGTCATTTGTTGTTTAAAGAATCTAAATAAGTTAATTTTGCAGTGTTTTAATTTTCAGCAAGGATCCCTGACCATTATTAATTTTGTTGTAATCAATGCTTTGTTCCCAACACTTTCTGACACTTCCTTTAGAAAGGATATGATAAAGAAATGTCATCCTATACCCGATTAATTTTCCAGCTCGAATTTAATAATAAAATAACTAAATTCCCCAGCTCCTGAGCAGAAGGTTGTTTTAGGGTGAATCAAAGCTCATGTAACCTGAGCTCCCCCAAGTGGGCAAAATAAGTATTACATGCCATCGTCTGAAATGCCATTAAATGTATAAATGTCACTCTGTATTTATCTTGTCCATAATCTAATGCCATTCGTGTATCTTACTTATATTCTCTAAGGACATGTAACAGCCAATATATCCAGAAAGCTGGTTAAGTTCCTCATCTGATGTGATTCCTAGGAAATGCTAACCTCAAAGTTTAACTAACAATTGTTTTCCTTTTTATCAAATGCTTAAAACTAAGAACGGTACAACCGTTTGACAATTCAGGTTTGATTGTGGGAAGATATTTGATTACAATACACGCAAATAGATTTTGATTAAACATATTAAAGTTAAAGAAAAGATAAGCCCTCCCTCAGGGGAACAAAGGACTGCCCTCTGGGAACTACACTCCAACAGACAAAAGCAGCGACACACGCTGTCTCGCTCTCTTTGTCCTCGCTTGTTCCTGTCTCTCCAACCCAGCGTGCCCCGTCTCCCGGCAACGCCCTAAGAAGCTCGACCCGGCGCAGCGAAGGCCTTGTTCGTTTCAAGCCAAATTATACAAATTATACAATCAGAAGAAGAACGCTGTGATGAAAAACGCGCTCTGTAAGCTGTTTGTCCGTTAACGGCTACTTTAGAAACATTATTTATTCAATTTAATCATTATTTATAACATTATTACACACTGAACCTTTAAATAACTTGTGTATCCACAGTTCAGGGCAGTTGTGAACCAGTGATCAGTCTGCATTGCTGTTGGGTTGCATATAGTGTTTAGTATAGAGAGTGTGTGTGTCTAGAGAGTGTTTGTACTCTATAGTATTGCCTGTCTGTTGCCTATAAGAGTGGCTTCAGTCAGTGCTGAGATCCTTTTGTAATTCACCT